CTCGTGGGTTATATTCACATATCAGGACTATTCCTTGCTGACAATACTTCCTATATACTTCATATTTTTGCATATCGTTCGTGTGAAAAATCGATCCAGCAAAAAATTCATATTTACTTTTACCGCAAAAATACATTAGCGTCCATCGAATCTCAATTTGCTCTTGAATCCAGGATAATTTTGCCGTTGTGGGCGTTATCAATGACGCCTCCGTGGCACCACCTACGTATGTAAAACCATACTTATAAAATGTTAATATATGTATTTGTATTTTCTTTACTTACATTGAAGTGTACTTACGTCGGGGAAACTGCATATATTACTTAGTGAGCGTCTTGCAACACGTACATATTGTATGATTATCCCAATTTAAAGCACTTTGATGCAGGTACAACCAGCTAAAAAAGAGAAATCTTTAATGGAAATAAAGCATTAAGGCTGATATCTTTGTTTAATTGGGTATTATGTGTAAATCCTCTCAAAATGACACCTCAATGCAGAAACCAGTTGGCTGTAGTTAACTTGTCATAGCTGAATGAGCTTACATGACTGCATATAAGCGTACCTTTAGATACCGCCTGGAACGGCGAGTACTCTTTCACCTTACCCAGACAAATAACCAGTAAGTCTGTGTATAATAATGTGGTAATAGCGCTGAAGATGACCATAAGCAGGCAAATTCGGGTGTTTTTAATCCAGTATCTAGCATTCCTTAAAAGGAAGTCCGCCGTCGCCGTTGTCTCTATGGTGAGCCCCCAGTGTATTTTGTCGGCTTCTTTTATTACTCTGTGTTTACACCAGAGGCTATTTGCACGAGCGAACTGAAACCATCATAGATACGTGCAGGGAAATGACCAATATGTTTTCGTCATTTCAGCAGTCAGAAGCTCAAAGGCAGGTCATTTGCCAAATACTTCTTATTTGTAATAGTGAGTTAAAACGAAAAATATTTTATTTCTACAAGTTTTAAAAATTATTATGTGAAATGAAATGCAATAGAACGAATTATCTGAATCGTAACATTTCGACTTTATTGACTTATTTGCTTTATGCTGCGACTGTAACCAGGATGTTGTGGCTTGATCGATGTACGACGCGCAGTCCAACACTTATTTACAAGCAGATATGCGATCAAAATCGTAACAGTCGAAATTCCGATGATTAGTTCAAACACATTATATCTTATTGTGCGCAATTGATTTGTAGATTAGTTTAATAGTAAAAAAGAGATGGGAGTGTTAACAATTAAACCTTCACTGATTAATTTTGTTCTCCAAATCATCAACGTGAGGTGATAAATAGAACAAATGCTCCAATAACACAACCAGTAGAAAATTTGACTATGGCGTTTCGATGACTACGTATGGCGTGTACGAGATGGTATGGAAACTACAGACTTTTGCGACAGCTCTATGAAGTAATGTAGAAAAAACTGTGTGACGAGATAGTTAAACAGCTTAAAGAAATCTGTTCACAAGACGGAAACAATGTACTTCTGTCGATTCGGCAATCCTTTCTTCAATCATTGATCACTGATACGAGAAAGTCTGTACCCCCTCGTCTCTATTTAGAAATCACCCAATTAAATTATATGGGTTTGCTCTGATGAATGATTTCTAAACACCGATTTACTAATCTGGGACTGAGATCGATTTCGCTTTGACCTGGTATATTTCCTGTCTTTAGGGAATCCGCGTCTTTTTGTCATTCATTAAGTCGAACCCCGAATCTCCTGTCTGTCTCTTCGATGTACGATTCGTTGCTGTTCTTGCATCCGATCTCATATATGCATTCTTCGTTAAACGGTAAACCCTTTGAATCGTTTATGACAGGTCTTTGATGTAAAGAATGACTACCTGTACTTTTATTTCGTCCTTTGTGTTTCCTCTCTTGGTATTTGCTTTGCCTTCCAACAGCCTATGTTCACTCTCCTTATTTTAAAATCAGGGTATCCACTTTTTTCATTGCGTTATGGATGCGATATGGTCTTTCCGTCTTGTTACTCTGTGACAAAAGTATCACATCTGTTCTGAAAACGCCAACTTCTGAAGGAATGGTGCCATCGGATGTTGAGACATTGGTCCGTGTACGGTATTTTCTTACAGATCAATACTTTGAGAAAACCGTCATCTTTCTTAACCAGATGGATGCCAAGGAATGACATTCTTTGTTCTTTCTACAGGTGAATTCAATAATGTTGATGGTATCTACGGGAATGGTATATACATTTCAATATTCCGAAATACAAGAAGTTTTTCATGTGGTGAAACTGAGATGTTCTGGTAACGCATTTCAATTCCGGGGCCCAGGTTTAATTATCAAAAATGGGGTGGATTCACCTTCTCGTCCTCTTTCCCTGTGTAATGTTGCTGTCTTCCGTAATAAAGACCCTGAAGTGCTTCTAACCGGACACAAAAATAATATTGTTGTAAAATGACGTTTATACTAAAATGGCTATTTTCGTAACCATCGCACGCGGGTATTTGATTAGTTCATATGATTTGATACCTGTTCCGAGTCACAGTTATACATATAGAACTCGAACTGTTGTCTGTTTGGTCAAATAATCTATATTGGTCCTTGATGTCAATGTCTACACTATGTCCGACATTAAACATGATATCTTGTAACTCCAGTATAAGATATGTCTCTATTTTTCTAAGCTTGGATGTTCTAAAGAGGTTCCTGTAAGTATTTTTAAAACACGTTTATTGACTATGTCTATAAATGGCACGATATGAGGTAGATCTGCAGTTTTCTCAAATGTGTTAGTGTTCTCATTGTAGATCTTGTTTCATATGCTATGCTCAAGTTTTAAGTTCAAATTACAATTTGTTAACATGTCGGAATGCCATTGCTGTTTTTTATTCAGACTATGCATGGCAATGCTTAAAGGCTCAAGGTATGGTGACACGGATAGTTACAGACAATCCTGTCTGAATGTGATGGATAACAACTTGATATTTCTTATTGTTTATATTATTGATCAGCTGTTAAAGACCAGTTCAATACACGTTTTATATATATATTGACGTTGATTATACATTTTATACAAACTGGAATATTTTCTGAAATGTGTACACTTTTTTATGTTATTTCAACGGATTTCTGTAATTAAAGCTAAAGATCATCTTTCCTGGTTTAAGATATATGTCTATATATCTTATGTATATTAAACTCCGTGCAATTCATTAAGATTGATAAATTCAAATAGGAAAACCTTCCAACCAGCGTACGTTACAATATACAATGCCGTATGTTTATCCATTGATATTTAAACACTATAACACAACCCACGATAGAATATGTCTTGGCCAGGCATCGGACTCGTGACCTAAGGCATTAAACTGTCCATGAAAAAAACTCTTGAAATTCCTCACCATTACACTACCAAGAAATCCCCTAACAAGGATGTAAGAAAGACAGTGACACTCTTAGCTAGTAATTCTCGACTTCACCCTAATTCCAAATATCTAATTATGAAATATATTTGCAGAAAACAAATACAACATTTCAAAGAAAGAATGGTTATTTTATCTGATTTAGTTTCAACAGATGCCACAAACAAACATTTAAAGACAAACCGTTTTTATTTGTTTGTGTTCATTAAATTCGCGTCACGCTGACGACGCCTTCAACACATACATAAGAATGTGTACAACAACAAACCATATCCTGATATGTACAGATCTAAATATAAGTGAATGTTGTTTCAAGTTTCACAGAAGCCATTTGTTATTTAGAGTAAGCAGTGTGACTGCTTAATTAAAGTGACATTTCTTACTTTACATCCTATACAACTGACTTTACGCCGAAAATGCCAAACAACCAAAACCATAATGGAATCTGACACTGGATTTTATGTCATAAACATACATTAAACACGTGGTTATGTCAAGCTTCCGCATACAGATTTAATACAGAAATTTATATCCCTAAAGAAAATGGTATAGTAAATTCATATTAAGACAGATTTGTGAAGTTGTGACTGAGCAGCTTTCCAGCGAGTTTTAGCTGGAGCTAATGATGGGTGGAGTGATTTAGCGGAATAAAACGATAGGTTTAACAGATACATACACCGTTTTCTTTACTTCCATATTAACTTCGTGTTCTCTCTCATAACTAGTCAAATGTGCGCTTAATTAACGTTTACTAGGAGTTAATTCAATAAGTGTCACTCCATCAGCTCCATATTGATCTGTGTATGATATACGCCTATCCCCACGCCGTTGTAACTGTTTGAAATATTAAACACATCCCTTGTATGAACTTCTCAAAGGAAAATGACATGAAATATTACTTGCCAATACCCATTATACGCATTGTTATGTCCGGAATTTACACCATCTTTAGTGTAAGTCTAGGAGCTGAAACTCACGAATTGGAAGGAGTGTTAGCCATGTGGCGAATCTGCTAAAATAAGTTACCTGATGACCGGGCACCAATTATTTCATTATGTTAGTAAAAGACCTGTGCTGGTGATCTCTTTACTACGGATGCATTCAAAAGCGCGTAGTCATCGTTTGTTTAGCTTCCTTTCATCTAAATGTTTAACACACACACAGTCACTGTATATACATTTGTATCGATACCAACAGAATCATTTCTATTGGACGTGACAGGGATCAGTCATCTAAAGATCATATATTTGTACGAGCTGTTTAAACCACCCACCTGCTATAGACCAATATATACATAATCGATACCGCCACCGTATCCCTCCGATTGTGCGCGTGAGTTGGTAGCGCTGATATTTGAGAGAGCACGCCCGCCGATTCACCAGTAGCACCAGCAAACCTCGCAAGGAACACGTGGTTCACGGCGAAAAACTTTATCCCGCAAGAAAACTTTCTCAAGTTGGAAATCTTAAGGTCCGTTTTTTTTTTGTGATTTGTGTTTATTACATTTGTGTAAATGGAAATCAGTCATTTGAAATAATATCGAACATACGGATCTCAATAAAGTATGAATTGTGAATAAACAAAAATAATCGTAACAAAATGGCGACAGACACCGATAATATTTCTGGATGGGACAACTCGACTGTTAATGGAAGTTTTGTCAACATGACCGTTGATCCTGTATTGGAGAGATTCCTACCGTGGTCCCCTCCCGCTCTCAACTGGCTTTGGATAGTTCTCATTCCCCTCTATATACAGATATTTATCCTGGCCGTTCTCGGAAACGCCCTGGTGATATTGACCCTAATACAGAACAAACGGATGAGGACAGTCACAAACGTGTTCTTACTGAACCTGTCCGTAAGTGATCTTCTCCTGGCTGTATTCTGTATGCCTTTCAACATTGTACCAATGATGCTCAAGAATTTCATCTTTGGGGAGACAATGTGTTTCCTAATCCGTTACCTGCAAGGTAAGTTACGCAATCGGAGCGAAACTGGGAAGTAATCTTTCTTAGTGTAAACTAGACCATAGATCAAAATGCACAAAAAGGAAGTTTTGATATTGATGTAGACGAGATAAAGTAAAGCATGGTTTATCACGAAGTTTGCGATTATAGAATGTAATGTATATATGTATATACTTGCGTTCTGTTCAATTGAAGAGGAGATTACACTCAGTATGAGAAAATTATTTTGTGAGAGAGAATTCACATATTTAAACTAAGCGTGATAATTTTAAAAGCGATTATTGAATATTTGACAAGTAAATAAAAGAGAGCTATAAATAAATTTTATATGAATGAATAACTGACTTTATGGTAACGACATAGCACTGAATATTACAGATAACGACAATCTCGACAGGACGAGCTTTTCCTAATCACATTTGCGGTCGTTTGTTTCATTTCTGTTATTGATTGAATAACAGAAACTCAGAAATACCAGAATTGATAAAAAGGACAAAAGAGTTTTATCTCTAAAATGGAAATAATATCTGCTGTGTAATGAAACAGAATAATTTGTTGTATTCCATTACATTCTTGTGTAAAAGAACACATTGATCAGCAATTACCTGCTGAACAAAGATTTCAATAACAATTTGTAGAAGTATAACTTTTGATAAGCGTAACTTAAAGGAACACTGATAATGATACAAAACTGTATAATATTCAGCATTGTGAAATTTATGTTGAATGATCGATATTACAAACTACGTAGGACATTCTAGAAAAAAAAAAATAGTTCAAACTATTTACAGAAATGATGTAAAATCTTGAAAAAAGACAAGGAATATAATTCATGATGTTCAGTTAAGATACACATATTCTGATTTCCCATGTCAATTTTAGTCAACCCTGATAAATATTTCAGGTCCGCAAATTACATCACCAATGAAACCAAAAGGCAAACTATCGAACATCGATCACATCTAATCTGATATCGTATAGTCTATAGTAAGATAATGGTTGAGAAACATTGTAAGTCAGCTGTCGACAACTCTCAGGAAAGTAATGCTATTGGTATCAAACCGTGTAATATCGAATCCACTGCAACATGGAAATCATTTGTAAAATCAGGAAGATTACTATCTAGAAATGGAAAGATCACTATTAGGAAACCGAATTCAATACGCTTACCATGCAGCCTGCTAGAATGACGTTCCTTTTGGGTTTGTTAAAGGGAAAGAAAAAGACGTTATGTGAACTATATTCATATTACAGCTGTACCAAAATACTCAAACCCAAAACTGCACAGCACCATTTACAATATAATCAATAACATATATACAAAAAAGGGTATAACGAGCGATGAATAACACTTCTATATTTTGTTCGTCTAGATTTCTTCGATGTCCATAGTGCCAATATTGCTGAAATCTAAAGATAGAGTTAAGAAAATAAGAAAATGTGCATATTTGTGTAATCCAAAAAAGTTTGATAAATTTGTGTAAAGGCCTTTGAGACAGTTAACGTGCACGCGCCTATCGCATAACTGAAGAGATTTAAACTCAAACTTAGAATGTTATTTTTTTTCAAAAGAATGTCAAGCACAGGTGTATATTCTGAATCAACGTTCCTGTCGATAACGATCTATGGTTTTAGATTACGGCAAAACTTTACGGAGAATTTGACCACCCACAAATCTAAAAAAAAAGAAAAAAGAACAACAATGTACAGAAGACAATTAATAGCACCTTTCAATAAGGCTTTAGTAACAGATACGGCTCATGCTGAATGATCCACAGAACTGGATCATAGTTAAACGACCGGAAGGCCTTCAACGTACCAGTTTAACGGGAAAAAGTTCCGCTATTCATACAAGCTGCACAATTACTTCATAGTCCATACTACTAAGGGGCGGGTTTTGTGCTAGTTAAGTGATATGCATACACTTTTAGTAACAGTAGGTCTTGTCTATTTTTTTGTTTTACGTTTTTCGGTCGTCATAATGATCCCATTTGGAACGATTCTATTTCTTATGAGGTTACAATGTTAGACGTCGTTGGTGCTCATTTGTATACTTGTTGATGTTTGTTGCTACTATGTTCTCATTTAGGAACATGGTATTACTTAAAATCAAACAAATTTACACGGCGGATAAAATCGATGAGCCTGGCGCTTACTCTTTCGGAAGATCTGGTCTTATTATCAGTGTACTTTTTAGGCGTATCCATGCAAAAATCTCTTTTGTTCAAATTTCCCCATAAGTTATTGCATTCGGATTTGGATTATGATTATGTTGCCAGGTGTGTATCTACTTGTTGTATGTCTTTTTTTGTTTTGCTCTTTAACCATGACATGTACCTGTAGTATTTGATTATACCTGGATAGTGTACGATGTTTAGATTTTATGCAATATTATGCAAATCATTGTTATTCGTTGTATACATACAGCACGTAATGATATTAATTAAATCATGGAATTTTCCTTCAGGTCCCCCTCCTCTTTAATCTGTTTATTGAACACTCTGCCATTTTACCTGCTGCGAACATTGAAAACTTGATTCTTTTTCTGTTTGTTTTTTTTTTGGGTTTTTTTTTTTTTTTTTTTTGCCTGTAACATTGTCTAACCTTTTTAACGACGTTTGCTAGGAAAGCGGTTCCAGAGTGTTTTACTGGTACATGTTGGCTGTTAAAGGTCAGATTAAACTAGTTTAAATCCGAGGCTTACACATACTCAACATTTGATTACGGTAAAAGTAGACTTACATCTTGGTAGATACATATACATTGTACATCTTTGCCCCACTGGGAAGCGGGAGAGTTCGATAAATGCGGGATGGATACACTTTGTAAAGACGAGTTATTGACGATAGGGAATTACAATAGTTGAATCACTAGCTATCAAATATTTCAAGTTAAAATTTGAGAAAGCTTGTGAAGTTCGTTTCAGGGACCAGGTATTGATCTGTTCTTTATATCAATAATAAAACCGATGTCGATATCAATTTAAATAACATTAGGTACCTATGTATGGAGGTACATGTTTATACACCATTTCGTGAGAAGTTGTTTGACACCTTGACTTGGAAAAGCTGTTGACCCTTGTCGGCAACAGGACGCCATGTCTCTTCATTGTTCTTTGTCATTACGTACTGGGACGTATACATGTATCAGGAATGAACATTTCTTATGTATGTCACCACCTAAACCATTATAAAGTACAATACACAAAGCTGTACAGTAATTGATGATATAATTAACAACGATAAGATCTTAGGCGTTGTAAACAAAACATGATATTATCCAGATCTATTTCATCGTGTTTATTTTACCAAAGCTCTGTTACGTCTGAATATCATGTCAAGAACTGTCAGGTATATCTATCTCCAAATCAACGATTAAGCGAGACTGAAACACTAGCGCTGTGTACGTAATCGCTCTTTTATAAATAGGGAGGTTCACAATAGGTACTGCGTAGTTGGTGATATTCGCGGTGGTTGAATTTCGCTATATTCGTGTCTATTAAAGATTGCGTGAAATTAGATTCCAAGCAAACAATTAGCATAAATCAAAATATTAAAATTTGTCATATACCTAAAAATCACTGTATGAGAGGATACGGACAAGGCTCATTGTAAGTAAAGATAAGGACAAATATCTTTGACATTAAAGATAAGGACAAGAATCATTGTCTGTAAGATTAAAAGAATCTTTTTTTTTCATGGAAAAAAGGCAAGTATGTAAGGTATGTAAGGCAAGGTATGTAATGACATGCGCAAAATCACTGTATGTAAGGATGAGGGCAAGAATCATTGTAAGTTTGATAAGGGTAAGAGTAATTGTATATAAGGATAAGACAGGTAATTATTGTAAGTAATGATACGGGCAAGACTCATTGTACGTTAGGTTATGTATCAACATTTGTATTAGTATACAAGACAATTATTTCATGAAAAAACATCCTGGTCTATATAATTACAAGCGGATCATATAAAATTGTTAGGGATAGACTGCAAATATTTAGTGAATTAAAAGTGCTGGTTACTAACTATAAGGGGCTATATTCATTGTGTTAAATCTGAGGGCAAGAATAATGTAAAGACGAAGGAGCGAGCCATTGTCTATCAGGATGATAAAGCAGAAGTGTGCCATGTTACTGGAAAAGCCATGCATAAAGATGCTACACACATGTTTCGTTTAGACTATGTATTTACACACGTATAATAATACTTTTTATGGAATGGCTTTCCCCAATGTTTACTCATTTTGAAAATGGTGGCTGGTGTCATCGATGAAGTAGAGGACGCTTACTCTTCCGGAACACCTGGTCTTAACCTCCTTGTACTTTTTCATGAGTATCCGTGTAAATCTTTCTTTTGTTCATATCTTGCCCTAGTTTTATCGAATTTGAATTTGAATTATGATCATGTTGCCATGTTGATATTTTCTTGATGTTTTTAGAATACATTCCTTATCTTCAAATCACTGTTGCTATTTATTTCTCTCGGTAGATATTTTAGATATGTTGTAACACTCGTGATTCATGTTCCTAAAAACGAAAACGCTTCCTGTTGATGTGCAGTAGCTTTACATTTCACTTTTTATATGCCTCCTACAACATAATTATTGGCATGTCATTTCAACCCATGTTCGAAATAATTAGCGTATTGTCAATCTAACGATGATATCGATGACGCCTCTATAAATTTGGCTACGCGTGGTATGTCATTAGGCAAGATCCAAATATGTTTCTTTACGTCTCATGATAGAGGTAATGGAGAAGTGATGGGAACGGCGTTTCTTACTTATGAGATAACGCGCGACCTTTAAAACATTCATTTTACGGAACTGCTGGCAGTAATGAAAACCCAGTATATCATTCCTATTAATTAATAATAACATATGAAACTGGCTCATTACCTGACAGTTTCTAATATTTCCTTGTGATTGCCACCTATTTATATTCTAAAGTAGATATTTCTTATACCTGACAATCCAATATCTGCTACCACCTTTCATATAAAGAT